TTCCACTTTTTCTTGGTGATTATTTCAGTTCCGGTACTCTGTTTGGAATGTATAACCTCCACAGAAAAGCAGGAAATACAGGTTTGCTGGGAAGACATTTTTGGAGAATCGAGAACAGCAATGTAAAAAATGCGTTGGAGAAGTGTTTTACGTGGACGATCCTTCAACAGAAGATAAACGTTCATGAAAGGTACAACCAACTAATACGATCAGACTGGCAGATGGCGTGTCCTTGTACTGAATGGCAAGCGTGGTTAGACTGGGGTAGATTCTCTTGGGACTGGTGGTATTCGTGGCCCCAACTGTGCTATGACTCCAGACGTTCCAAGTTTATCCCATATTCCGATTCTGCTACAGGATTAAGAGGTTTTCGGTTACGACAACGATGTTGTTACTCTACGCAGTGGGAAGACTGGGGATCACTCAAGGAGGGACCTCCTGACGGTGGTCGCGTCCAAGTAAAGGCAGTTTATAACTGGTTCAGTGAGGCGAATGAGATGGAAAAGGTTTACACGGACGAGGAGGCCTATAAACACTGCTGCGTTGACACACCTTTGTGTGATTTGTTTTATTTCTATCGTCCGTCTGATAGCTGCTCACTTTACAGACCTCCACGAAGGCGTAAGTTATAATTTAAATTAAATTAGAATGTATTACTCCCCACTGCACTGCAGTGCACTACACAATACTGCATTACACTTCACAACACTACACTACACTACACTACACTACACTACACTACACTACACTACACTGCACTGCACTGCACTGCACTGCACTGCACTGCACTGCACTGCACTAAACTACGCTCCACTACACTTCGCTACATTATTGACTACACTACACTGCAGTGCACTGCAGTGCACTGCACTGCACTGCGCTGCACTGCACTGCGCTGCACTACACTGCACTGCACTACACTACCTGCACTACACTGCACTACACTACACTACACTGCACTGCACTACACTACACTACACTGCACTGCACTGCACTACACTACACTACACTACGCTACATTACTGACTACACTACACTGCAGTGCACTGCACTGCGCTGCATTGCACTGCGCTGCACTATACTGTACTGCACTACACTACCTGCGCTACACTGCACTACACTACACTACACTACACTACACTACATGTACAGTACACTGCACTACACTGCACTGCACTGCACTAGACTGCACTAGACTGCACTACACTACACTACACTACACTAAACTGCACTGCACTGCACTGCACTACACTACACTACACTAAACTACACTACACTACACTACACCACACTGCACTGCACTGCACTACACTACACTTCACTACACTACACTGCACTGCACTACACTACACTGCACTGCACTACACTACACTACACTACACAACAACTGCACTGCACTACACTGCACTGCACTGCACTGCACTACACTATACTACACTACACTACACTACACTACACTACACTACACTACACTACACTACACTACACTACACTGCACTGCACTGCACTACACTACGCTACACAACATACCACACCACTGCACTTCACAGCACACCATACTGGACTGCAATGCACTACACTGCACAGCGCATGCACCACAGCACTCCAGACCACACTGCTAAACAGTACATTTAACTACGCGACACTCCATATACCTAAAATATTGAAGTGTCCATTGCCTAGTGTTATACTTTTTACAATGCTACATTTGGTTATGCTATGCCATACATTGTACTATGTGATCGGTTCATGTCATGTTATATCATCTTAGATTGAATTATATGACGTGAAGAGGCGAGAGGTCATTAAAATTTATCATTTCTGTATGTTAGGTAATAAATAACACTTCAGTATGTCTTTATTTTCACTCTTCTGATCTTTTAACCCCTTAATTGTCAACCTCGGTCCTCAACGTGGCCTTTTT